TCGAAAGTCACATATAATGAAGCTTTTATTGAATGAGCATATGTTATCATAATTATTAATTAAAGTATTTAATTAATTAATAAAAAAATATATGATTAAACTTGTAAATGAGTTTATGAGGTCCCTAATATGTCCTAAAATTTAATCTAAGTTAGGGTAAGTTAATTTTGACTAATTTATATGAGATATAAATGGCAAGTCATTAAGCTCGAGGCTAACTAATGAATTAATTAAAATAATCTTAGTGGAAGATTAATATAATCTTAGTAGAAGAGTATATGTCTTAGTTGATGCATACATGATTAACATGTGTCATGAATAATGCATGCATGATGAAAAAATTTCTTTATGAAAGACACTTATCATCTCTCATACATGAAAGTTTCTCCATCCAATATAAGTTAGTTGAAAGAGTAGAGAATAAAAAATGAGAACAAGCTAGAGAGAATGAATGAGTTTCTTACATTCTCTCATCTCTAATTCTCTAAGTGTAAGAAATATGACTTGAGCTCAAAAGAAAATAATAACCCTTTATTGCTTTAAGCTAGATTACTTAGTGGGAGTTAGAGATCAATTCTAGAAAATTAAAAGAGGGGATCAAACTAGCAAACCAAGTCATAGACTAAAGGCTCAATCATGTAGAGTTTGTGTGGATGGACTAGAGGCTTCACATTTAAGAAGCTTGAGATCAAGATTAACTTGTTAGTTATGCACTAAAAGAGGTAGTATTTCAACGATTTGATACTAAGTCTTGCATGTGTGTTCTAAGTATGCATTAGTTGATTCTTGAGTTATGGGTTATAAGACATCTAATTGATGTTTGATGAGATCACACCAATTGTTTGTGTTTTGAAATTTTTTGAAATTCAACATGCTTCGCTACGCCCACTATCATTTCCTTCAAGATGGTAGTCTCATAAAGGTTATTTTGTGACAAGTCTAGAAGTTTGAGGCTTGACGGACTTATTAAAGTCTCCTATATGCTACTATCAAGTCTGGTTTCTATGTAAATCAAGGACTTTTAAGGAAGTCAAGTTATTAAAGGTGTTAGGAATTTCTCTATTTAAAGAATTTCCATAAACATCCCTTCATTAAAAAAATCAAATTTTTTTAGTCATGTTTGGATTAAAAAAAAAAAGAAAAGAAAAGTTGATAAAATCTAAAACATAAAGCTAGCGTTTGGATTCATAGCTTACGAAGAAACCTACAATTACTTATATCTTTAGGAATTTCATTAGCAAGATTGAGGTTGTGCAAAATCGGAATCGGAGCCACTTAATGCTTTTAAATTCTATAGGGATCATCCACTCGTATTGAATTGTTACCTAATTTAAAAACCAAAAGCTAGTCTAAATTGGCAAACCCAACTTGGGTACTCCCATTCAGACTTGTTAATTCCTAAGTCAATAAATTAAAAGCTTTTGTAGTTTGTAATGCCCAAACCATAATGTGCTTAATTATACATATTTTTGTGGGATATTACCTTTAAATTGATTGCCAAACAATATCAAAATTCTTAAATATCTAAAACCTAATAATTCGGTAATAAAACCCTAGATAAGCTTTTGTTCCACAAAATAATTCTCTCCGTAAAACTTAGAGAGAATTGCAAAACACATCACTCGTAGTCACAAAGATTGCCATTCGGGATCCAATTAGTCAAGTTGTTGTAAGGGTCATTGTTGATGTTGCCTTTGAATTACAACAAGATCTCCTCTTTTGTAGCTAGTGACACTACAATTATAGTGAATCTAAGAAAGAAAGAAATTAAGAGCAAAAAAGCACGAGGAAAACACAATTGAGACAATATTCTCATGCTTGTTGTATAAATGTTGGTGAATAGATCTACCCTTTTGGCGTTATTGATGATGGATGTAATTGAAATAAGATTTGGGTCTCCATTGGGTTCCACAAATTCAAACGTAGAATTAAGTTTTGATAATGGGTTAATTGAAACAGAGGAGAAAGAAGAAATGAAATAATTTTTTTTGTTATTTTCACATGGCAAAAAAAAAAAAAAAGTGTCATGCAATATAGATTGTTTTTTTATCCCAACTCGTCAATTTTGATTGAAAAATTAACCAAAAAAAATGGTCAAATGGATCACATTAAGAAAAATTCAAGAACATAAAAAGGCAATGAAAAGAAATACATACAGAGACCACATTAAGAAAAAAAAAATAGAGTGACATTTGATGCAATTAACTCTAATAAATTACAAGAAACACTAAAAGAGATGGGAATGAGACTCGTTCCTAACCCGTTCACTCTCACACACTTGTAGATGCAAACTCTCCTTCATTGTGCTTCCATTCTCATTCCATCTTGGCCGTTCATTCTCTATTCTCTTTGTCTACCCCTCTCGCGCACCCTTAATTTGCATCTCTTTATGTAGTATCTTTTCTTTGTTTATCTTCCTTTCTGTGTTTCTTTTGCTTTCTTAATTAACTCCCTTTAATTTTTTGCTTAATTACTTCCTTGCCATTTAGTGTTCTACTAGATTACGTTTCCCCCTCATTTATTGGTTTTCTTTCCCTAATTCAATGCCCCTTTTGGTCTTTTGCTCATAATTATGGAAGAGCATTTAATGCTTTTACAACATGCTCTATGATTTCTTTTCCTTTTTTTTTTTTTGCACCCATGCTCATGCTTCTAAGACTTTTTACATTAAGACATGACATAATTTGGTTACACTAGCATAATTTAAAATATTTATTATTAATACACTACATATATTTATTGTTTGATTATGAAAAGATTAAATAAATATTAAAATATAATGATTTAAGTTTGATGATGCAAAGTACTTTTAATCTCATCTTTTTACAATATATACAACTTCCAAATTTACTTGGCCATCAACCCATCAAATAAAAAAAAAAACAAAAAATAGATCAAGCAAAAAATAAAAAAGGAAATACTAACATGTAAAAGAATCAAACATAGTAATTTCCACTCATATAATATAATCTATTACTTGATGACCATTATTAAAAAAAAAAAAAAATTACCAAAACATAATGCTCTAACACTTGTTCATTTATCCAAAAAACACTATGCTTTTTCTAATCTTTGCAAGAAAATTTGCAATTTGATCCCTCATTTTTAAAACTACTTTTTTATCCGAAACTTCATTTTTCTTTCATTTTGGTCCACGCACGCTAAGAGGAGAGAGAATTGTCGGAGAGAAAGAGAGAGATGGATGAGGAACCCCATTCTAGTCACTCTAACAGTCGAGTTTATCACCAATTTGTTCATCTCGAAGAGTATAATCTATTTGTAGTAATCATAAGTAATGAAATTATTGAAAAATGTAGAGTGAAATCCAAAAATATTTTGTTTCTTTTATTTGACTTTTTTTATATTTTGTGTGCATTAAAATGAGTTTTGAGGTTCTAATAATTTTTTTTTTTTTTTACTTTATTTCTGTGATTTTAAAGTGTTTTTGGACAACAATAAAGCTAAATTTTGTTTTGGGAGGTCGAAAATTAAGAAACTTAACTTCTTAGAGAAATCGAGTTAGCCAAAATTACAAAGGTCATTGGATTTTTTTTTTTTTTTCCTGTATACTAGCCTACGTAGGCCAGGTCCCCAAGCATGCAGGCTTGGTCCTCTAAGCCTAAAAGCACGAGATTGCACCTTTGTTTTATTTTTATTTTTTTATTAAGAATTTTTAAGCAAGAAGTATGATACACCAAACATTATTATTTATGCATTTAATACAGTGTGGCTAGGATATAATATATGTAATATCTTTTATTTTATAAAATTAACATAGATTTCTGATTATATTACTCTTATTATTTAAAATTTATTCTTTGAATTTATCATTTCTTATGAAAATTCTCATCTCATTATTTTTTTATTTTCTATAAAATTTTATTTACTGATAAATATAATTTATTTTTCTCTATATTTAGATTTAAGAATAAAATTTTAAACCATGATTTTTTTTCTTAAATTGATAATAAATATCATGAATTTTTAGAATTTTTAAATGACTGTGCCATATGTATAAATATATAATTATTATAATATAAAAATTTAAAAGTCTATTTTAGATAATTTGCCCTGATCCATTAAATATAGTCATGACATATAAAAAAACCTATTGAATAATCTATTTTATTAAAAATTAACCATACATTTTCACACATAACATCAACTATTTACTATAAATATTTTTTTTTTTTACATTATACAACCAATTTTTTTGAAATAAAATAATTAAATTAATTTTTTAACATTATTGATTATTTGTAAATAAATATATATAAATCAAATGCATATATTTTCAAAAAATAATCTTCTCATCAGAATTAAATAAAAATATATTTTTTATTTGTTAATTTTTATGCAAATCTATATATCAATTGTAGTTTATTTTTTAGATAAAATCTTAAAATATATATATTTTTAATTTTTTTAATTCTTTCTTAATGTTTTAGTTTAAATTATTACAAGTTTTCTATTTAATAATCAATGTATAAAAAAGAACGAATCGTGTTTTTGTAACTAAAAAATTAGAAAAAAAACATAAAAAAATAACTAAATTCAAAATTTTAATTAAAAAATTCAAATAATGTACTAAAATGAATTAAATTTTCCTCTAAATAAAATATAGGGGCAGAAACGTAATTCAGCTAAACAATGCAAAACCCCTAGCAAAGTCTCTCCCACGATCTACTCTCCAGAACCTTTGCAAACCTCGGAAGTCGAAACCGAAGTTTGCAGCTACGAAGACAAAATTTGAGTTCAAAACCTCCATTTTTAATCCCATAAATACCTCAATTAAACCTTCGAGCTTCCTAAAACATTCCATTCTCATCATTATAATATGAATATATTTGATTTGTTGTATTCAGTGATGAAAGATTAGATATTTTCCATTAAAAAAGGATTAAAATTTGGGTTCTATCACACTCTCAATTTTGGTTATAATCAAATATACCTCCTTCTTGTTTATATTTTGGTTTTTGTAGAGTTTTAGAGGCGTATGAATGGCTTGCAGAGCGGTTAGCAAAAGGGTAAGAAGATATGATTTACCTCATGTTTTTTCTTGTTCTTTTACTTCTTGTTGTATTTTTTTCGTCAAGAATTTGTTTCAAGTGAAATTTGAATGTTGAGGATTGTGAAAGTCAAAAAACTTTTACTAAGGTAGAGGAATACCTTTTGCTTCGAGTTGAATCTGATCAGCATTAATCTCTCAAATGTATAACAGCTTAAGGTTTGGTCTATTGCTTGCCTTGTTTTTGGTTGGTTAGCGTAATCATCTTACAATTTTGTATTCTTATACCCGCTTTTACACAACAAACACACCCCCACCACCCCGGGGTATAATATTGAAAGTTTTACACATATTTCAACTTAGGCTGTAGATCATGAATACGACAATGAATGGCTTATGTGTAGGATGTTTTACCTGACTTCTTTTTGCAGGGTATTAATGTTGGTTTCACTAGGGTTTTGACTTCAATTTCACCAGAGCATGCAGTGGGGTTTACTTCAAGAACTGGTCTTGATGGTGCTTTAGTCAGATATATACCTGGTAATTCAATGCTACATTTATGTTTTTCATCATCGTTCATTAGATCTTTGCTATTTAATTCAAGTGAACAACGCTGGTATCCCAACTACGCCAGGTAATTTTGTGGTTTAGTTTGCAATACTTCAGCTTATAGAACTCTTTTGTCATCCAATTTTTTTCCTCAATCCGCAATACTTTTCCATCCCTTAGTTTAGTTGAGAAAGCAGCTTCCAAACATCCATGTTTCAAACAACCAACCTTGCATCCCTTTCACTCAGTCTGTTCAGCATGAAATACTCTATCCTCGCTGCTTTTGCTAGTTGTGCAGAAAATTGGAAAAACTTGGAATGTGATAATTTTACTTCTGAAATATTGATTTTAATATCATCATTTACTTATCCAATCTTGTGTTGCAGAGTCTTCTTGCAGCCCATTTCTACAAGGGTCTGGTCATCACACTACAAAAGAATCATCTATTAGGTAATATTAATATCCTTCTTTCTTGTTTCCAACATTTTCCAGGTTTAATTACTGTCTGCATTGCTGCTTTTTATTACCTCATCACTGGAAAATTGCACTTGACGAAAGTATCACACTGTAGAAATTGATAAGTTGATCTTAACAACTATAGCTCTTTCATTTTTCTTTTATTTACAGTTGGGCTTGACCAGGTTAAGGGCAAGCTCACCCTATTTAGCATTGATGTTTAATTTGAGGGGTTAAGTTTGGTGTGCTTCCATGGCTTTTTTACAGTCAGGTGTTAAAACCTGGTGACATCATGATCTACAGCCTAAGTTGAACCCCTGCCTTAATATGACCTGGGACTAAAATTATCAGAAGAGAAAGAAAGGAGAAATTTGTGTAGCTTAACCTTAGCCACACTTTTGATCTAAATAGGATGTTTTGAGTTTGCATGCCCCTTCATAAAAACTTTTAAGTTCTGAGAAAACAAGGGAAGAAAGGAGTTTACAGTTGAATGTAATAAATAACTTCACACCTTATTTCTATTCTGCTTCATGGAAGGAATTAAAAAAAAAAGAATTTTTTTCTGTTGGTTGTATGCTTTTCTCTTTGCTTCATCTTTCCAACTTTTGTCAAATCTGCAAAGAGTGTGTGAGAGAGCGATAGGGGGTTTTATTGCAATTGGAAGATAATTTGCAAAGTTTATTGCTCTGGAATACCTGAATGCTCTGCTTAAAATTTACTAGTTGAATGTTGGGATTTTGTAATGGTTATTTATCTCGCTTAGGTGCTTTCACGCTAGTCCAGAACTGTGGTTTAGAAGAAGATATGTTAAACAAGAACCTGGTTTGAAGATGCAAAATAAAGGGAAGTTCACTAAAAAGGACAAAAAGAAGAGCCAACCACCGGTTGAAGCTCCATATGTGCCTCCTAAACTGAAAAGAAGTAACAAGTCCTTGCAAGATAAAACAATTGACATATTTGAAGGCATGTCCACCGTTGAACTTGCCAAGTGTACTGGTCAGTCAGTAACAACTCTGCAGGAAATTCTTGTTAATGTTGGGGAAAAGGTTGTCTCAGAATTTGAACCACTCAGCATCGATGTTGCAGAGCTGGTTGGAATGGTAATTCCCTTCCCTAAGTCCCAATAATTGTATTGAGCATTTCATGTTTGATTAACATCAAGAGTTGTATGGAGTTTTTCATGTTCGATACTATCAAGAAGGTGAAAAATTTCAAGTGACAGGAATTTTCACTTTTCATTTTTCACCCGAAAGCAAATATGTGTGCATGCCTGCGTGTGTATTTGACAATATAGTACCAAAGGATTTCAACTAACTTGTATGCTGTTTCTTTGCTGGCTTTAGTTTCTGCCATCACCTAGCATGACCGTATTGGCAACGTGCATTTGAAATCTGCCTTGCTCATGATATATACCAAAATATGCTTTGTTTTTTTCCCCTTTCTTACTTTGTTTCTTTTTAGCATTTGATCTGCTTTTTCGGCTTTCCACCTTCCTTCCCCCTCCATTTGTGAGTTCACCATGTTTGGTTGATTTTTTGAGATGGCTGCTTTGAAAATTTGAGATTCAGTCATTGACTGTTTGTCATCTCAATTTTTGCAGGAAGTTGGGGTCAATGTCAGGAGGCAACACTCCAATGAAGGTTCAGAAATTCTTCCACGACCAGTAGTTGTAACAGTCATGGGTCACGTTGACCATGGTAAAACTTCTCTTTTGGATGCTCTACGTGAAACATCTGTGGCAGCGAAGGAAGCTGGAGGCATAACTCAGCATCTGGGTGCTTTTGTTGTGAGCATGCCGTCAGGAGCATCAATCACATTCCTCGACACTCCTGGTCATGCTGCTTTTAGTGCAATGCGAGCAAGAGGTGCAGCAGTCACTGATCTAGTTGTGCTCGTTGTTGCAGCTGATGATGGGGTGATGCCTCAAACTCTTGAAGCCATGTCTCATGCAAAATCAGCAAATGTACCAATTGTAGTTGCAATTAATAAATGTGATAAACCGAGTGCAAACCCAGGGAGAGTCAAACTCCAGCTTGCATCAGAAGGCTTGTTGCTGGAGGAAATGGGTGGAGATATTCAGGTAGTTGAAGTTTCAGCTATTGCAAAAACTGGATTGGATAACCTCGAGGAGGCTATACTTCTTCAGGCGGAGATGATGGATTTAAAAGCACGTGTTGATGGTCATGCTCAAGCTTATGTAGTAGAGGCAAGACTTGACAAGGGACGAGGTCCTTTGGCGACTGCTATAGTGAAGGTAGGGACTTTAGTTTGTGGGCAGCATGTGGTTGTTGGTTCAGAGTGGGGCAGAATAAGGGTTATTAGGGATATGTCAGGGAAGTTGACTGAGCGGGCACGACCAGCAATGCCGGTTGTTATTGAAGGGCTGAAGGGGCTTCCTATGGCTGGTGATGATGTTACTGTTGTGGAATCTGAGGAGCGAGCTAGAATGTTAAGTGCAGGGAGGAAAAGGAAATATGAGAAAGACAGGCTTAGGCAGATCATGGAACAACGGGCAGAAACTAATGAACCATCAGAAGATGACTCTGTGCCTAAGAGGACTGAAATGCCATTAATAGTAAAAGCTGATGTGCAGGGAACTGTCCAAGCTGTCACAGATGCCTTGAGGACTTTAAATAGCCCTCAGGTAGACCAAAAGATCGTAGCCATATGCTTGACTTAATGCGTAAAATTGTTTTCATGATTCTACTTTTGATTTGTATCTTGTTGCTGTCGTTTAGTGATAACTGTTGCAATGTTAAAAGTAGTTGTCAGCCTTAACATGAGTGGCTGGCTCCTTTTGAAACATACCCTGAAAATGTCATGCTCATTGATTGTGTTCTTCTCACATGTTGCTAACCTATGTCCATTACTTGCACTGCCAGGTTTTTGTAAATGTGGTCCATCTTGGTGTTGGGCCAATTTCCCAGTCCGATGTGGACTTGGCACAAGCCTGTGGTGCTTGTATAGTTGGGTTCAATGTGAAAAGTCCACCTAGTTCTATCAGTCAGGCTGCAATTGTAGCTGGTATAAAGGTACTTCTGTTGATAACCTTAACCATCTTTGTTATTTTTAACCACCCTGAGAATATGAGAGTAATTCTTGGGCATAGGTGATTGATATTTTATTAAACAAGATGATGGCATATATAGCAAGCTAGGATAACTTATTTATTTCCACTGTTTCTTTGGTTGGCTGTAGATTATGCAGCACCAAGTGATCTATCACCTATTGGATGAAGTTGGCAATTTGATAGTAGACAAAGCCCCTGGGACTCTCGAGGCCCAGGTAGCTGGGGAGGCTGAAGTGCTGGACATCTTCGAGCTAAAAGGAAGGAGAAAGTCTGCTGATGTAAAGATTGCTGGCTGCAGAGTGATTGATGGCCATTTTACCAAATCTTCGACCATGAGGCTTCTTAGGAGTGGGGAAGTCGTGTTCGAAGGACCTTGTGTATCTCTAAAGCAGAAGAAGCATGATGTGGAATTAGTGGAGAAAGGAAATGAATGTGGACTTGTGATCCATGATTGTGATGATTTTCAGATTGGAGATGTCATCCAGTGCGTGGAGCAAGTAGTTAGAAAGCCCAAGTTGATCATATCAGACAATGGTATTGCTCGTATTGAGTGCCATTAATGCCTTCTATAGCGATAATTCTTCAAGACAGTTTCAATTCTCCAAGCCAGGTACACCCAATTAGACTCTGCAACTGATTGTCCTGGCAATCTAGATCTGTTCGTAACTAATCGTTGCATGGCACAAGTTCAATGAACTCTGCAAATTTTGAGATCAAAGTTGGTAGTTGATACAAGTTTTGCTGTACAATCGAAACATTTACTAATTATTGAACCAAAAAAACAAGGAAATAGGGATTGATGAATTTGAAGGCAAATAATATGAATTGATGAGAAGAGGCATGGTAGAATGGTAGAAGAGTCCATTTGTCTCTGAAATCTGTTTTGGTTCATTACGTGGTCATCTGCCCTTGAGCTGCATAATGGGAGGTAATCTGAAAACTGCGATAACTCCTGTAACATTCTAGTATGGCAATCAGGCTAATTTCTTCTTATCGAACTAGTAGAGCTCCAATACTAAACATATACTCCTGTAACATGTCCCGTTCAAATTTTCACCCTGTAGCAAATGCAACCTAATTGTGACAGCTAATGATTGAGAGGATCCATCCTAGAGAAACAAGGCAAAGACCTCTGTCCGGGTGTAATTTGATTGGGTATATGATGTTATGCCACACCTTTTTATAAGCTGGTGTGGGGCAAGGCTGGAAAGGAATCAAGGAGCAGTTGCTACTCTTTAGTCATTTTTGGAGCATTTGTAATGCTGATTATTTGCTTAATGTTTCACATCTGAGGCGGCCCATTTTGGTCCTGACGAGAATATTGATAGCTTAGAAGGATATTGAAGATTCAAAGTCATATCTTACTGCATGGACAGCCTACCAATAAACTATATTCTTCTTGTTTCTCCTTAATCGATGCTGAAAGTAACAAAATGTTCTCTTTCCTGAAGTCAAGTTTCACTCCTTGCAAAGGGAAGATAAAGTACCATGTATTATACATATAGGAATTGAAATCATACCATGCATAAACATTCTTTTGAAAAATCTCATCCATTGCATTAGTACCGGATCTCACTGATTTTAAGGTCAATTGGTCTAATAATACTCTGTATTATCAGTTAAAATAAATAAATAAGATTTGGTATCTGAGTTTTAATTTTTTCATTTTGAATATCATAATTATTTTTTAGCTTCTAATCAAATCGATTGATTCTGTTTCTGTTGATCAAAATTTAGGTACATTTTTTTGGTTCAGGTGATGCTAACATGGTTCAATAAATAAGACTTTTTTTTTTTTTTTTTGCTTGTTTTTTCTTATGATCAATTTGATGAAGTGATTATAAATTGTCTTCACCTCTAAATTAAAACAAAAAATTGAATCAATCCCCCAAGAAATCACTAAAGCATTCTCGAAGCTAGAAATCAAACTAGCCGTCGTTGCATTCTCGAAGCTTGAAATCACTATATGAGGCAAACTAGCCATCATTACATTCTCGAATTCAGCAATTTGGCTAAGCACAGACGCAGAAAAAGCAAGAAGCTTGCTCCTTCTAGAGAATGGAAATCTTGTTCTTTCATAAGCCGAAGAGTTAATCATTTGGCGAAGTTTTGATTTTCTAACAGAGACATGGCTGCCACTTCTCCGTTTGAACATCCACCGGGCACTCTGGTTGATTAAATGAATGGTTCTGGTCTTTCTCCTTATGAATTCACTCTCCTGTTTACGCTTAGAGCTTCTGCTTGTGAATTAGGGTAATGAGTTTTGATTTTTGTTCCTTGTAAGGCTAAAGCATTTGAGATTTGGGTCTCATGTTTGTGTGAAAAAATAAATAGTGAGAAAGGGCATGAGAAAAAAGAGAATGAAGGAAAAAAAAGTTTGGTAATTTAATTTAGGTATGAGTTTTTGGTCATTTTATCATCATGTGTCTTTTTTCTTATGAACATGCATCAACGATCACTTGACTCAATTACAAATTAAAAAATAATTATAGTATTCTAATTGAAAAAATTAAAATTTGGATACTAATTTCTATTTGACCAACATTATCGAACTATTAATTTAAATTTAATAATTGAGATTCTTTTGTTCCAAAGAGATTTTCAAGAAAGATTATTATTATTATTATTATTTTAAATTAACATTTTCTATATAATAATAATATTGTTATTAAAACGCAACATGCCTCGTTTTAATTAATTTCAAATCCGATGAACTTTACCCTACCAGAAAGAGAAAAACATGTCAGGGTGTATCATTAGTTAGTATGGAAAGCACCAAAATCATGAATTTGACATTTCAACCCATATTTTCTTCAAAAAAAAAAAAAAAAAAAGGTGGACGAAATTACTTTTACATTAATTATATGGGCGTGTTCACATGCCCACGATATTGTGCACATCCAAATTAAGTCCGCTATGCTGATCTGATTAAAAAAAAAAAAAAAACAATTAAGGAATTCATGAAATATGATATTGCATATATTTTATTTTGGGTTGGACCTTAAAAAGGCCAATGCTATCTAATACTTGAGAAGCTTAATGTTGAGTATAGATGGAATGGTTAATTAATTTTTATATCCAACAATATCATTAACGTGTATCCTTGAAACATTTTAGAAAAACCCTTATTATTATTGTTGTTGTTAATTTTGATGATTTGAATAAAATCAATAATTACAATAATGCTAATATAAGGAAATTAGATTACAAATTTACAAGAGAAATTGGACATGCAAAATAATTATTATGAAAAGATTTTCTAAGGAAAAAAAACAGAGAGAGAAAGAGAGAGAAAAGAAACAAACAATTAAGTTATATATATATATATGAAGAGGGTCATATAGGTAGAACAATTAAATATGAACCTTTTTGAAAGATAAATTATAAAAGTAAACTTAACTTACTGATAATTTGCATTTAAAAAATTAACTTATATGTATTTTTGTATTTTATTTTATTTTATTTTTTAGTCTAGATTGATAAGTAGGGCAAATTTATTCTACAATTAATATTGTCTGTGCCATGCAAAAGTCATTGTAACTTTTATGCAGGTAATTTCTTTGAGAACACTTTTGTGTGTTTTGGTAAATTATTTGTGAGCCGTACTGGTGTCCAAATTGTCCAAAAACATATATCCACATTAGTGGTACAACTAATTCGAGTTATATGGCTAATTTATTATGAATTAGTCTGCTCTTGCGATCCGTCACAGGCCGAATAAAATAAATTTATTTTAATTTATTAGTCTGTATTATAGTGTCGATCAATTAAGATATATAAAATTAAAAGTAAAAAATTTTTTTTATTTATCTAATTTCATATTTTTAATCAAAATTTTGTATTTAATTTTTTTTTCATAAATTATTTTGCTAAAAAAACACTATCGCTTCTTCCTTATGCATTTATTCTTAAATAAAAATCTATAATAATATAAATAGAAAATTTAATATAAAATTTTAAAAAACATCTTAATAATTTTTTCTTAAGATTGTATTGAAGAAGTAAAATAATAATTAATATAAAAAATTGTATAAAATTTTACAAATGAATCTTTTTTATCTTTCTTTAATATTGATGGGAAGACTAATTTTTTGGTAATATGTATATTTGATTTATATATATTTATTTACAAAATAATCAATAATATTATTATAAAAAATTATATGTTAATTATTAGAAGGTTCTTCTAAATTATTATTTTACTTATTTTATTTGAAAAAAATTAATCTTATTTTTTTAGAAAATTAATAATAAATGGTTTGTGTTATGTGCGTAGACTCATAGTTAATTTTTAATAAAATCAATGATCTTAATTTATTTTTATACATCATGACTCGTACTTAGTAGATCGAGTGTATAGCATAAATCGAAAAATATATTTTTTTAAAAAAACGTAAGTTGTAAGAAATATATTGAAGTTAATTAACTACAATAAAAACAATCATAAAATTAATTCTTATAAATTTTATTATATAAAGAATACACAAATAAAGAACATGAATTATAGATTTTAATTAATTTTTTTATTTACAAAATAATCAATAATATTAGTATAAAAATTGTATTTGAATTATTAAATGGTTCTTCCGAAATATTATTTTACTTATTTTATTTTAAATAAATTAATTTTATTTTTAAAAAAATTAATAAAAAATAGTTGGTACTATGTGTGTAGGTGCATAGTTAATTTTCAATATAACTAATGATCTTAATTTATTTTTTATACATCATAATCATACTCGGTGGGTCAAAGTGTGCAAGCATAAATAAAAAAATATTTTTAAAAAAAATTAATCCAAAATGAATATAGTGAAGTTAATATACTATAATAAAAACAACTATAAAATTGATATTGATAAATTTTGATTATATAAAGAATAATAAAAAAATTAAAAAATTAAGGTGCAAGGAATCACGTCCATCGCTAAAATGAAACCTTATAAAAAGGAAGTGTCTCCTTTTGTTCTCCATTATGCTCTCCCTCTCCTCCACCAAAAACCCCCCGCCCGTCGGCAACCTCCTCCCCACGCTACCCCACGCCTCCGTAAATCGTTCAACTCGGTGAGGCGCATCTTTCTCCCTCAAAATCCGACGAAATTTCTATTGTCTCTCCTTAATCTCTTGGGTAAAACTTTCGCTTTCTAACTCTTTTTTTAAAAAAAAAAATTAAATGATTCTAATAAGTTTTTAGCTTAATTTGTTATTCTTTAGTTGATTAATTGCTTGTTTAATTTTATTATTTATTAGTTTAATTTTTTTAATAATTGTTTGAATGTTGTTAATTTTATTATTATGTTAATTTTTATTTATGTTAATTATTAGTGTAAATTTGTTTAATTTTTTTTATGTAATTTAGTTATGATTGATTTATTGTTAATTATTTATTATTAATTTTTAGGTTAAAATTTAATTATTTAATTGTTATTTGTTATTTTAAATTTGTTAATTAATTAATTATTTATTTGTGTTAATCATTAGTTGAATCTTGTTAGTTGTTTGTTTTAAGTTAATTTTTAATTATATAATTTTGTAGGTGCTTTAGTTAAATTTTATTGATCAT